CGACGTGTTGTTGATTGCAGCCGGTTGAGAAGAGTTACAAGGTGGTAAGGGTAAAAATAGGAAAATATATGAAAGCTACATTATTTACCTCTTTCTTTGCTACCAATATTTTTTTCAAGTGAAAGGGTTTTTCACTTTTCAAAGCAAATCTTTTGTCCATGGCGATATTCAAGATATTCGTCAATTAACTTTCAAGTTATCGAGTAGTTAACGGTAGCAGCTAATCAAGTGATAGCGAACATCGTTAAAATGTTTGCAGTGACTTTTTTAAAATCATTGTTGGGTAAAAAAAAACACAGTTTTCGAAGGCTTTCGCAGTGTCTTGCATGAAAAATGATGGAAGAGGAACTGGTTATTGTAAGAAGCGGCACTAGCAACATTCTAGTTAACAACTAGTAGTTTTACTACAGGGAATATGCTTTTAGTGGATCATCCCATCAGTATATGCATTCCACGGCCTACTATCTCTGTAAACGGTACGTGGTCTTGTGCGAGTAATATAATATGTGGTAAACAAAAAATTAGTTACATAATTGGCGCTTTTCCCCACGGACGCAATTTTCGGCCGAGCTCCTCCTCCAGCTAGCATTCCCTGCCGAAGGTCAAGCGCAGTTAGAACAAGAAATAATTGTTATTTCGGTCATGCCGAGATCTTTCTAGCTATCTTGAACGTATTAAATTGGTATGGCATTGCTTTATAGGACTAAATATAATTCCTCATATCTGGAAAATAATTCCTCATGTCTGGAAAATCGGTTGCAGGTGGGTCATATAATATAGTTCTTCGAATTTAATCATTTTCTTTAACAGTGTTAATTTGTAGAAATAAATGTACTGTGTTATCCTTTTCACGGTTTCGAATATAATCATAAATACAATACATTTGAAATTAATCTTTTTAAAGAAATTTCTTTTTTATTATAAAACTTGAACTTTTGAAAATGTCCTAGCAACAATATCGCTTCAGAATCGTAAAATCTACTTTACCTTAGAAAACTTTGGCCTAAAATAAAAATTAGCCATTGATTTTTTTCTTACACATCAAATACGCATATCCTTGATTTAAAAATTTTATAAATATATATTCAAAATTAACTAGTTAACAAATATTTCTTTCTTCCTTTCGAAAAATAAATAAATATTCGATCCGAAGATCTCCAGTACTGCAGGCTCAGTCTCAAAATTCTTTAAAATGGATATAGATTGTGTACAAATTAAAAATTCCGCAAAAATACTATTAAATTTTATGTTCTTGCCAACAGTGAGGATGGTCTTCAAAATGTGCCACAAATGTGCTCTACAGCAATCATGATGCCGTAGCTGCATTACTTTCGTCCAGCGTACGCACCATACTCACCATACGTACCTTGTCCACCACATCTGCCAAATCGACTATTTCCACACGAATGCAATTGGAGCTGCACTGGCAAAGGCGATCGAGTGATCGATGTTGTTGGGCCGATGGCGAAACCACCGCAGCAAGTAACGGACAAAAGCAGTAAGGATTTAATAAATCATGTGCCATCCAACGATGAGCCAAAAGAGCAGCACAAGGATAAGATTAATGGCGAAGATAGTAAAAATTCGTTGACAAATAAACTTTTTTGTTGCATATGAACGTGTGCAGGGGTGTGAGGATGTATGGATTCCGATTCGCTTATAATTAGAATTTATTAAAAGAAAATCAGTAAAAAATGTATGTCCTTATACTAGTATATCTTCTTCAGGGCTTCCAAGATTCCATGTAACATTAGCAGCGTTTTCTCATCGGTCTGACCTTATTCATAACTTTTGATTGTGCAAAATCCAATTTTTATACTTTTTTTTTACGGACTTACTTTGACTTTTCGAAAACCTAATTAAGTCACTCTTAAAAGTTTGGCACGAATTCGGTGAGGTTTGCATGCGAATCCTAAGTCCAATGATCAACTTGTCAGCAATATCACTTCTCACATCTATATATACAAAACCAGACCTTAAAATTACCCAAATTTTAGTATGACAATAATTTACTTTCAATGATTTTAATATTATTTTCAACACTTCAAAAAAGTCCATTTAAATTTAAAAAAAAAAACACAAATTTTTTGAAACAGAAAAAATTTAACAATGAGCTTATCGTGAGTACATATTTATTTATTTTATTTAAAAAATTTTTTTAGAGATGTCAACTTACTTTCAAAGTATTACTTGAAACCCAAAATCCCTTCTCCACTCAATCTATCCCCACCGGGCGTATATAATTGGGATTATGGTGAAGTCAATGAAGTGCCTACATCCTTTAATTACAACGACTACGATGACCTTGATGGCTTTGAACAATTTCATACTCAACAACCAAGACGCCGTCGTCCCATTTTGCCAAGATCCTCATTGTGTTGATCCATCGTTCCACCAGAAACTGTCTCAGAAACTGTCTCAGTAAACGTTGTCTCATTTCACCCCAAGAAATCATTTGAGTAGATCATGTGCGCCACCCCACCGTTGGACAATGAATCAGTTGTCGTACACATGTCGTTGGAATCAAAAAATGTGGTATTAATCGGATTTTGTTTCCGTTAATAAAATCTTCAGTATTGATGTTTCCCTTTTTTAAAAATTCGGACGGCTGCTTCAGAAAGTGAGGGGCACAGAATCCAAAACTAGCCTAGATTGAATTCATGGCCTACAGTCTAAAACCTTTAGAGGACTTCTTGGTATGTAATAACCCTTGCAATACAAATCTGCGTAAAAATTACTCATTACTTTAAGAACCCGCACTTTCCAGCAGAACTACATCATTGTGGCAGGTAAAGATTGAAAGTCGAAAAGCAGTTACCATGACACTAGATCCGGCGCAGAGAGAAGATAAATGTGTGTTACCAAAACTTCTTAATTTTAATTTCTTAGATTCGTGAACTCTCTGTCCCTTTTCCGTGCCACGTCTAGTAAGTTTTTTATTTGGTTGGCACCATTGGGTTTGCCACTTTCACCAAGTCCCTGCGTATAGTACGTACTCCAGAGTCGTTCAGCATAGTTAAGGGTTTTTTTCATAAAGCCATTCGACTATTACAGTTCGCCTCAGTTATTCTCGCACGGAGGCCTGTAGTAGCTTTCTGGTTTGTTGACTGTTTGGGGTGTAACGGTCTGTAACAAAGTTTTTGGGTATACATTAAGAGCCGCTTGGCTTTACTCAGTTTCTACTCTTGTGTCCACCTCGCGCACTCTGGAAACGTGAGCAACTCTACTGAAAGATGCAGTAAACAAGCCGTGTGGAGCCTTGGGTCACGACTAAAAGAGAGGAGGCTAAAGTGGAGTAATTTCGACTTATTCGATTTAAGGATTCGCTGAAATCTAAGTGCGGCGTCTGTTCACCAGAGGCGCGCCTGTAAGCCGGCGTCGGTGTTGAAAAAGGCGATTCTTTATATAAATGTGTAAAAATTTGAACTTACTCGCCTAGCGCAATTAGGTGCTGACGACCACAGAAAATGAACTGAAATCTGGAGGAATAGTTCTTCAGCCTTCAGAATGACAGTTAAAGTGCAACAGCAGGAGATGACGATTCCTCATCCGATGACGATATTACAAACATCTCATTACCCAATAAAGCGGCGGGGGGCTGTGGTCTATGGGCCGAGCTATTCAAATACGGCGATGAAGAACTGATAAGCGTTCTTGGCCAATTACCGTGTGATAAGCCTCGCAGAATAAGGTCCAAAGAGCATATTGTAAGAAAGACTAAAGACCATCGTCAACAAGCTCAGTGGACCTTATCAGGCTTCAGACCTGTGAATCAACCACTGACCAGACATTCACCAAACGAAAAATCTCGGAGAAGAGCCGTGAGATGATAATCCACACCCACCACCCCCTTGTCGATTTTAAAGCAGCCTTCGGCAGCACGGAACGGAGCATCCTCTATGTTACTATCTCAGAATTCTGTATCCCCACAAAGAGTATACGGCTGTATAAGCTGACGTTAAGCAACACCAAAAACTCTGTCCGGATCGGAAAGAATCACTCCCATCCGTTCGATACCAAACGAGGTTTCAGACATGGTGATTCCTTAGCGTGTGACTCTTTTAACTTATTGCTGGAGAAAATAATATGAGCTGCAGAGCTGAATAAACAAGTTGCAATCTTCTATAAGGGTATACAGCTGCTGGCATCGTTATTGGTCTCAATAACCGCGCTGTGAAGCGAATGAGTCTGGTAGTGAATGTGGGCAAAACGAAATATCTTCTGTAATCAAAAAAACAGTCATCGTATTCTCGACTCGGCTCCCACGTCACTGTTGGCAATTATAAATTCGTCTATCTTGAAACCAGTGTGCACACCAACAACAAAGACAGTCTTGAAACCCACCGCAGTATCATTCTTGACAACAGGTGCTACTTTGGACTGAGCAGGCGAATGAAAAGAGATGCAATCTCTCCACAAACGAAAGCCAAACTCTACAAGTGGCTCATCATACCCATCATAATACATGGCGTAGAAGCGTGGACAGTATCAATATCTAATGACTCGGCCTTGGAAGTCTTCGAGGAAAAAGTTTTGCGAACAATTTATGGCCTTTCGCGCATTTACAACGGCAAATACCGCAGACGATGGAACGATGAGCGATACGAGCTAAATGATGATATGAACATAGTTCAGCGAAGAAGGGCTAAGGCATGTCTTCCGAATGGATGAAGGCACTCCAGCTTTGAAAGTATTCGATGCAGTTTTCGCTGGTAGAAGCACGGGAAGAGAAAGACCTTTGTTCCGTTGGAGGGATCGTGTGGAGAGTGACCTGGCTTCTCTTGGTATTTCCAACCGGTGCCAGACAGCGAAGAAAAGAAATAAATGGCGCAATTTATTAACTGGGTTGTAATCAACTCTCAACATTCTTGTGTGATTTAAATCGTAATTTTAAGGTGCTTCCTTAGAAGGATTCAAGGCAATTAAAATGTATTCAATCACAAATATTTATTTTGAAAAGTTGTTGTTTATTTGACTACTTTTGTCGACGCAACAAATTTTTTTATTTTCATTTAAATTTTTTTTTAAAAATAAGTTTGGAGAAGAAATTCAAAATTACAACATCTCCGTGTAACGCTTAATCGCTGTTTAACCAAGATCAACTTCGCAGTTTAATTGCAAAGAAAATTCAACCAAAATGTTTGGCAAGTAAGTTGAAATCGGTTAAAATTTCCCACTTGGACAAATGCAAATTTTCTTCCTAGCTGCGACAACGACTGCACAGCCACCGCCAATGGGCAATGTGCTGATGGACAACGTTTAGCTTGCATGGACCAGTTCACATTGCCCATGTATGATCCTTGGCAACCGTCAATTGATTTCATGCTATGGCCACCGGGCAGTTGCGACTACGGCGCTCACGTGGGTATGTGTCCCAACATGCCAACTCAAAGCGATTGCTGTGAAGAGCCAAAACATATTCCCAGATCACCATGGCCAGGTTTAGCTGTCAGACATAATGGCACAATCAATAATCTCTCATATTGTCGACCATATGCATCGTTAAACGGCTGCGTGCGAACTAACGTCACTTCACCGGAAAATCCATTATTCCACCCGTCAGTTGAGTTTAGACGCAAAGACCTTCCCTCACAAACACCCATTTGGAAGCCGAATGGACCAATGCAACGGTTTTCGGAAAAGCTTTAAAAATTGTAGAAAAAAGATTTTATTTACACATATATGTATGTATGTAGTTCCATGTAGCTAGGTATAATTGCATAAATACGTATGTATGTATATAAAAAATACCGTGAAAAATATCCAAAATAATAAAACCGACAACTTTTGAAGAACTGCAGCATTCTTTGTTGCCACGTGAGTCGAATAGGAAACAATGCGCTGTTCCAGAGATTCGAGATCCTGTCTTTCTTCAATGCGAGGAGTTCACTTTCAGCTAGTTGAAGCTAGAGCAAACCACCAAGCGCTTATTTCTAACAGACTGAAAATGTTTTTAAAGTTGTCGATTGACTCAACGAAACCATATTTCCACAGAGTCTTCATGATGTATGCAGTATTAATAAGATATTGCCAACCACCCTAATGATCTAGCTGCGTTCGTTCACTACTGACCACTAACGCTGAGAGAACTGTGGAGTGCGCGAAGATATGTAACTAGATATTTTTAGGAAGCTGTGCCAAAGTCTATAATAGTCTTCAGATCAGTGCCTCTTGGAATTGCCTTTGCGGTGAAATATAAGGGAAAATGGAATTTAATAGAAAAGTTTAGATAGAGGCCTCTCAAGACACAGTCTTCCCGATCAGTGTTTCGCTTCTTTTTTAGTAGAAAGTAGTTGTAATAAGAAACCAGTTTTTTCAATTTGGGCTCAATTTGTTTTTTCGCCAGACACCTATCAGACGGTTATAAAATATTTGAGGCTTTTCCGTCTTGCGTCGAACTGTTTATTTATCAGCGTTATTTCAATGTCGGGGTACTGTAAGATCTGTGGAACTCGCAAAGCAAAGCACTTAAATGGACTGTAGATGCCAAGTTTTTACTGCCGGTGCAAATCGCCTATGATGAGGTGTAGCTTCGTTGGATTGCGGAGTTTCATATGAAGTGTTTTCCCATAAGGGGTGTTATTTTGAATAGTCTCCTACTCCGGTAGATGTCTCTTTTGATGCTGTCATTTTTTGATAATTGACAAAGAAACACATGAAAATGCTGAAAACCTGGCAGAGACGGTTCGTAAAACTAAAATATTTTTCGGTCGTTGTGAAGCATCTTGGCGGACCGCAATACGGAAATTGGTTGGAAAAAAGGATCTGTTGGGACAAGTTAGGGATTTGAAGAATAAAACGCCTGCACGTCGCTCAAGGACGACTGAGAATATTGCTGCTATAGCCCAAAATGTTGAAGAAAACACAGGTTTGTTCATTCCTAGTCATTCTTTTGGATTTCCATAAACGTCATTACAACGTATTTCACATAAAGGGTTCTGCCTTAAGGCTTATAAGGTTCAGTTAACACAAGAACTGCAGGTAGGCGATCAGCGACAACGTTGTGTCTTTGCTGATTGGGTCCTTGAAAAATCATCTGGACTGAAGGGGCCTCGATGTCTACATCAATAAGCGAAATTGTCGGAAAACCCAAGATTTACTGTTGGAAAGCCTCTCTATCCTCAAAATCTAGTTGTTTGGTGCTGATGATGATTTTTGTGCCCGGAATGGGACAGTATTGATCTGGATATCATTTACTTTCAACAAGATGGCGCTACGTGCCACACAAGTAACGAAATCGTCATTCTTTTAAGGCAAACCTTTTCCGGACCCTGTTATCTTTCGAAAAATTGATCGCAATTGGCCATCAAGATCTTACGATTTAACACATTACGACCTGCTTTTAAGGCCACGTAAAAGAGAAAGCCTACGCCAACAGGCTAACGTCGATTCAAGACCTTGCGATTTGGTCATGGAAAATTTCAAAAAAAAACTGCCCTGTAAGCGTAGCCGTGGCGGCCATTGGCTGGTATTGTTTTTCTTTACATTGAACCCTGTTTATTCTATTCTTTCCGACATTACTTTTTTACCTTAGTTCACACATCTCTGAATCCGGTTTCCCGCGCTGGTCCAGGGCATTAAGCAAATGTTAAAACAGACACACTAACCGGCCGGGAAAATTCTTCTAATTGAATTCCAGATAAACCGCAGAAAATGAACCTTAAAATCTTCAGAGTCGATTAGGAGTGCTCTAAACCAATCAAAACCGATTTTATTTGCGAAATTGTGACTGACTACCCCACCACAACAGCTATTGAAATCGGAATATCGACTGCGGTCTACGCGGCTTAACGCCTAATTAAGTTGTTTTATTGATCTGTGGCGAGAAACCACTGCTGCAACATCTCAAAATGATCATATGAAACCGTATATATGGGAACAAAATTTATTAACGAAGCAGCAACAATGAATGTACAATACATAGCATTACAACAACAACAATAACAATAACAAGAGAGTTGAAATCAAAGAACCACAAAAGAAACAAACAATGTGCAGGGAAATGAGGATGATGACAGCGATTAAAATACAATGCAACAAGTGGTGTTTGATAATGATGCTAATGTACATGCATACCTACAAATACATACTAGTGTATGTAAGTATGTGCCACAAGAGATTTTCAAATTTTCAATTATTTATGGAGCTGCTTAAATTTCATTGATTTTCATTGTTGTAATGAAGTGTTTTTTATAGCTGGAGTAGGCGAATGTCCATGCATTCGAACGATCAAATCTCTTTAAAATATCTTATTACTAGTATGTATGTTATGTATGTAACTCGTACATACTAAACAACCAAAGACTTCTAATTATGACTATTTTGATACCTCAGCCTTTCAGCGCCTTCTAACGTTGTCTAAAGTAGTAGACTTAAGAACCACTTAAGACCGTGGAGAGCTTCCAAGGAGAGACGTATCACTAAGCTACGCATAGATTGTAGACAAGCCAAAAGAGAAGTTCGTATTCTGGTAGGTGAATTGAAGGGACATCTACTATACTCTAGAGCTATCATATCCACAAGCTGGGTGAAGTCGAATCTGCTGCGTGCAGCGCGTGCAACTTTGCGGTTCTCAACCACGCCATTCAACCAATTAACCAATCTACTGTTTTGATTCCCAAAGAAAAAGATCAACTTAGGTGTACCCAGGAATAACAAAATGTTATTGCTATTACCTTTGCACCGGTCGAGCGGTATAACCAATCAAAGTAAAGTACGTACTAGGAAGTATTTTTTATTAGATGGCAATTATTGTCTGCTTCGAACCCCTCAGTTGCTTGCGCTCGGTATTTTGTCCAAAGTTAACAGTGCCGCCAAAGCTCAATTACAATTCATTATCGCAAATTAGGCTTTACTCTTCTGGCAAATTTCCTCCTTAAACAAATATTTATTTTTTAACTGCTCAGGGTGTTGTTGTAATGTCTGCGTATTGATGTGCTTCGTGGTGAGTTGATTTCACAATTTCCTCAAATTTTTTTCAGCCAAACTTCATGGCCGAAGTTGGACTGGAAAAAATCAAAACATCTTATACTTCTGGACCGATTCTCCATTAACATAAAGACGTGCGTAATAACTGTACACTATTTAATGGAGCTTCACGGGCTTAGGATAGGCTTTTGCTCCAACGATTTCTGCCGCAGCTGTAGGGCTGAAACAGGAGAAGCGACCATCGAACACTACTTCCGCCACTGTCAAGCCTTGTCATCCGCGCGGCACAAGTTGCTTGCCTTTATAAGGCACACGAAATGGTTACATCATTTGAGAAGGTGAAGGCCGGAGCCACAGCGGTATCACAATGGGCCTATTGGCCTAAGTGTGCTGGGGTTGATCAACAGCCGCAACAACTCGATTCTTAACTCTACATGGAAAAAGGAAAAAGATTATACCAAAAAAAGTACCCATTTTAGTACGTAAAATCGGCCTTACTCGAAAACTACGTCTTTAGCTCTTTCTACGACTTTCTATTTCGCTACACGCTAAAGTAGGCTGTCTTTTTACCTAGAGCTGCGGTAATCTAATGTCGTACTTTGCCTTCTAACATAGGTTTAACGAAAAGACAGGCTCATTCCTTAATATGGAGGAGAACCGCATTGTAAGTGACACACAGACGTTCTCCGAATCTCTCCATATTTCAACGTAACTGGCTGGCAATTACTTTGGATAGTTGCTGGACATTGAGGAAACAAAAAATGACAGAAATACAATGGGCAGCTTTCAAGACGACGCAGCATAACTTTTGCTGGTTTCAAAACTCCACCTGAGGGCTTCTATTTTGACTTTATCAAAATTACTCTCATACCGATGGTAGTTTTTCTCGTTTATTTCCAACCCCCGATAGGGTACAGCTGCTTTTATGGTAATCGGATGAAATTACAATAGATACTTTTTCTACTTTGGTGCGTTGCATCAATCATTTGTCGGGTAACTATAATATTCCATAGTAAACCTAAGGATTTCAGAGCAATAAGTTTGACATACTTCCTGCAAAAGGTAGATGAACGATTGCTGGAGATTCACGTTAGGTCTACTGTGGATCACTATCGAAAAACCAAGACGTCTATATGAAAGTATGGTCAACGAGGGATGGCATTATACACTGTAGCATTATAAATTTATAAATCCGACCAACGCTCTCAGGAACGGACCTGTGCATGGCTGAGTCGGCAAAATACCAGGGACTCATCATGGACAGGACATTAAGCTGGTCACAGAACTCAGAGGAAAGGATGTGTAAAACGTTCATTTCCAGCTATACCTGTATAGGTGCGATAGGACGGAAATAGAGTATGCCACCAAAAATAGTGCATTGGGGTTACAGTATGGTGAGAAGCGCCAGAGAAATAATCTATTATCTTCAAATTCGATGGAGTACAGAGTTCTTCCCCATTACAAAAAGGTGTCTGAATGAATAGTAATAAACAACAGCTTATCATTCACTGACTTCACGACAGCTTTCAAGGTAGTTATCTCGGATAGAAACCTTTGGGGCAGAATAATACCAGCAAGCACCGACGCGATTTATTTTTATTCGAACGGGTCACAATTAAATAACAGGGTCGGGTCGATGGCGGACTTTACTCAAAGGATCTTGGAATCTGCAAATGATTTTGTTTACTTGATCTCTCAGATAATCGTATACATATTTTTTTCGGGTAGCCAGACTACATTAAGAAACATCGAATCTGTAATAGTACACTGAAAACCGTGGAGAATTTTCACAGATGACTTAACGTAATGGCTAACAGGTCTCTTTGAACCTGGTATGGATGCCGGGTAATGAGTTGGCAGACGAGCT